ATCCAAAACAGATTGCGTAAAACTTCGTCACTTCACGCGAAGTGTTAATTAATTAATTTATTTCCTTATTTATTTACTCTGTATTTCTATGTATAGTTCTATGTATTATTTATTTACTGTTATAACTAGTCTTTGTAGCATTTTTTGTAATAATCAATTTTGTTAGGCATGTGAATACTACTACCCTTGTATTTTTCCCATTGAAATAATTGTATACATGGGAACAGACTTGTCTAGCATTTAATACGATTGCAATCTTCTGTTACCCCAGCCATGGGTCATTTGCTCATTTTTTTCTTTTTTTTTTCTTATTTAAAATAATGCATCTTATTACCAATGTCAAAATAATCAAAAATAAAATAATTCCAAATCACTGCAAATACGATCAGACCATGCTCGTTATCTTCATGGCGTGAATTAATGTCGACTTATTCCTGAGAAAAAAAAAAAATAAAAATAGTAAAACGTATAGATTTTTAGTCAAAAATAACACATTTTTGACAAATCCACCAAGATTCCCATAATCTCAGTGCAGTTAATGTATTATGCAAATTACCTATTTTACAGCCTGAGTTAATATAACCCGTCTCGGTTCCCAACCTAATCGATTCTGACGATTGCCCCTACGTGATGCACATATAAAACAAAAATTGTAAACCATGACATGGTGAAAAATGGATAACTTGATACGTGTTCACTGGGCTTGGTATTGCTTTGTCATTTTTTGTGACTTGTGAGCCGTACTGGTCTTATAAACTAGTCTTGCGAACAGCGCCCTCGCCAAGCTTAGAAAATGGCTAACGCTTGAACTATGGCCAAAATCCTTGGTTGGTTATAACTACTTATGGGTCGCAATTGATTGTTTTTGGGGTTGTTTGAGTCACAATTGGGTTTTTCCTCGTTTGGAGAATTTGTGGATCGTTTCAATATATTTAAGAGGCATATATAAACCATATTTATTTAGAAAAACTTGCGCATTCCACAAAGCACAGTCCTTCCACAACTGTTGTGGAGGGACTGTGCACAAAGGAACAGTAATCGGTAGAAAATCAAAAAAAGAAACACGCTTAGGTTCAATAGAACAAACTACTAAAAAACATGCATTAAAAATCTTAATTCAGTGCTTGATGCCGAGCGAGGAAACGTTTTTAATGGAT